GTTTATCACCAGGAATTTCACTGTTAAACACGATTTGAAAAAAAAGTTGAAATGTGGCCCAATGGCTTCAACAACAGCATATATGAACAGCCTCGCAGCTCACAGAACATCTGTCTTTAAAGGTTTACAAGTTATCGTTAGAAATCTGTTGCCCTATGGAGAAAATGAATGGCATTTTTGCTTATGAAACCGACTGTTGCACTGTATTCAGCTTTGGGATGGATCTTTACAAATCTTGTTTCTTCTCTTCAGCTGAAGGGTTATCCTTGCGAAAAGATCCCTGATGAGGTGGACCACATCCTTCGGATCCTGAATTTGGAGGATAAGCGCCATGCACGATCCAAAACCCTCTCTGGTGGGATGAAGAGGAAGCTTTCCATCGGCATTGCTTTAATTGGAAACTCAAAGGTCAGGCAACACTTTGTATTTCACGGTACATTTTATGTTTAGCAGATGTTTTTATGTTGTGTTCTATTTCCATTTTGGTCCAGGTTAGTTTGTGCTAGTTAGCATGGCTATACTGGTTGTATCAATGAGATAAAGAATTGTAAACTGGTTTTCCATGAAGGTTTCCCATTAGCGTTAGCCACTCTAGTGCTAACCCAGCCCATGTGGTTTTGTTTATTTCCCTGTAGGTGGTGATGTTGGATGAGCCCACCTCAGGAATGGACCCCTCAGCCCGCCGGGCCATCTGGGACCTGCTGCAGGGCGAGAAGCGCGGCCGCACCATCCTGCTGACCACGCACTTCATGGACGAGGCCGACCTGCTGGGAGATCGGATCGCCATCATGGCTAGCGGAGAGCTACAATGCTGCGGCTCGCCGCTCTTCCTCAAGAACAAATACGGTGAGACCACCTCAAGATCATGAGAGGAGCAGAAAGATTATATTTTAAAGTGAATGATGTGGATGAGCGGAAGTTTTAGCTGACTTGTTTCATATTATTTATTAATGTTTTGAATTTTTTATTTTTATATTAGAACTGTTATATTTTATATTCAAAATGTATATTTTTTTGTACTTTTGTTAATTGATTTTTGTCATTTTTATTAGCTTTTTTCTATGTTTCTCTGTAGCTTAAATGTATTTTTATTTCTATTTTACTGCCATTTTTTCCATTATTTTTTTAATTTCAGCACCTCGACTTATTTCAGTTGCCAAGGCAATATTTATATTATTTTATTTATTTATTTTTTACTTTTTTTAAGCTTTAGTTTTTCATCTCAGTATTTATTGATTATATTTATTATTAATTATTTAGTTTATTTCAGATATATTTCATTTAACATAATTCAGTTTTATATACATACATTTTATGCGCACACACACACACACACACA